ACCTTAGTACGTAGAATAGTGAGGTTGTCACTAGACTTACAGGTGCGAGATATTGGAGTTAAACTCAGGTGAAATATATAATAAAATTTGAGCTAATTCATTGGGCAAATTCTTTACCGCATGAATGTCCGAGTGTCCTCGGCAACGCCATGTGCACTTCATGAGCGAATGCCATGCACCTTAACCCACCTAGAAGCTGGTTCTGTTACTAAGTTTTCGCACTATATCAAATGGTTTACAGCTATATCCAGATTGAGTTCAGCTTCTGACATAATGGTACTATTTCTTTCCATATTCGAATGTGCATGCTAAACACGACGCTGCAAATGAACTCTTCCCTGGAACTGCAAGCGGCAAAATCTGTGCCCAATACTTGCTGACTCACCCATTTCCGACCGATAATATTGCCTCTAATTCAACTGCATTCTACAATCAAAATCTTCTCTGAGAGCTTTGTGTAATAATGATTCAGACATTGCTACTCTCAAAAATAAGTTTGCCTAATTTTGATGGACGATGGTGATTTCTGGTCGAAAGATTTTGGAGTCGAAAGGAGAAGCAATCATGGAAGATGACGATGAAAATCAAGATGAAGAAAATTTTGGAGTTTGAGTTTCAAATGGGTCACTAGCCTTTCTCCTTTCTAAAGTGCAATCGAGGAAGAGTTCATGGGAATGAAACAAAAGGCTACAACCTCTGCTTGTAAACGACTCTAGACACTGTCTTCACACACAGCGCGTATCCGGTGGATGTGTGTATTTGTGACATCATGACCTTGAGCTGCTTCTAAAATCGCAAAGCCTCTGGTTCGTCAGGTTTGCCTAACTTTACAGCACGGTAGTTACAAGGTACGGGTTATTGCATTATAGAACAATCCCTATATACTTTGCTCACGCATCGTTATTAGCCTGTTCCAAGTTTGCAGTGTTACGGCTTCCAGAAAACGTTCTTGCGTGTGCTTGGTCTACGTTCAGTCTGATTGTTTAATAGGACAAAGTTTTTTCTTACTGTAGACCTACTTTGAGGTCATCTGTTTCCGGTAAAGAAGAGATTCGACACTTTCTCTTTTGATACCGAAATGATACTATAGACTCACTCAAATTATGGTCCTTTGATTCAGCGTTTTTTGGGCGTCGACGCCAACACAACACTTCTGTACGCAGTGGCGCAATTAATTCGTAGTTTACTTCGCACGATGGAGTGCTGGATTCCTTTGTTGTTATTCCAACCATTTTGCGGTAACACTCATAGAAGCCAATGAACAGATGGGTACCACAACGACAACGTGGCTTATATGTTGAACGAGATCGTAGTGTGATTCTGATATCCTCAACCATGGATCAAGAAATTGCCAGCAGGTTCTACACATTTCGCATATTACTTACCTCATCCATGACGGTGATCTCTATAATACCGTGGTTAATATGCGTCAGCAAATAATCAAGAGTGACTATGGTCTAGTTTGTTATTAATGACTGGCGCGTTTTCTTTGTCTGCTTGAATATTTGCACTTTTAGTGGATTTTAAATCTTAAACGCGTCCGTCACATATTTCGGTTATGACCATTATGCCCGTTCAGGAATGACATTCTGTCGAATTATGGGTACCAGGTAGAAACATTAGTACACATACTCAATAGCACACGGT